GATACTGAATTTAGTGAATACCATTTGGGGTTTCTTTTCACCTTTCTCTGACTCACCAAGCATTCCTGGAGAAAGAATTGAAGTAGGAGAAGGAAGGTGAATATTAGCTTCATACATTGGTAGATGAATGAAGATTGTTGATATTACATTCTAATTATAGCCACATCAAAAATCAGGAAAAGAATAGAAAAGAAAAGCCCTCTGGTTCTCAATTTCAAAATGTGTTTCTTTGGAAATATAATTCGCTCTTAAACTCTTCTATATGCTATCTTTACCTTTTAAATTTTCATCTCTAATAGTTGTATGTACTGACCACTTACTAAGTGCTTATAACAATATGCTGAGCAATTTGCAAACATAATTTATTGAATATCTTTAGCCACAGTGTAGTTTTCAAAGCATTTCCTAAAACATAATCATATTTGATTCTGGCTGCAATCTTGTTAAAGTGGAAAAATAATTATTATAATTTCACAAAGGAAATGGAGACAGAAAAATCTAGTGATTTGTTCTAGGTCACACATTTGTAAGCAGCAGAGGTGAGAATCAAGCTGTCTTCTCAACTCTAAAGCAGTTTCAACATAGGAAGAGGCAAGATCTTTCATTTCCAAAACAAAAGTTTAAATTACATTATTTTAATTAGATTTTATTTATTTATTTCTTTTAGAGAGAGAGCAAAGGGGGGGCAGAGGGAGATGGAAAGAGAGAATTTCAAGCAGACTCGATACTGAGCACAGAGGCCAACTATGGGGCTCCATCTCACAACTCTGAGATCATGACCTGAGCCAAAAACAAGTCAGAGGCTTAACCAACTGAGCCATCCAGGTATGCTTAAATTACATTATTTTTAAGACCTTTCTGTTTCTTATATACTTTATATATCCAAAAGTATATTCTTGCAAGGATACAGATAGTACTCTAGACATTAGGGCCATATGCTTTTCATTTCGTATGCCATACGTTTTTATTGTTCTTCATAAAAGTAACTGGAACAATAGCTATGCAGATTTAGAGCTATTTATCTTAGATTTTCACATTTCTCTCTCCCATTGCACATAATTTTGTTAATAGAATATTGACTTATCAAGTATTTAGACTGTAAACTATGAAGATGGAAACCATGAGAATATTTTATTCACAGTTTTATTCCCATGATACAGCACAGTGCCTGGCACCCGATAGACATTCAATTAATATTTAATTAATTTCGATCAAAGTAATTTCATAAAAGAGATAGCAAGTGATAGTGGGGAACATGGGAATGTATTTGCTATGAATCCCTATCAGCAGTACCTATGTATTTAAAGGCTCATAGAAGTGGATTAATCAGTCTTCATTATCTACTTTTCATTTAATCTATTATTAAATTTAGGAACTGAGTTGACTCGGCTTAGCACCTATTGTGGGAAAAGTGTCAAAAGCTCTAATTTACAAAAAATTCAGATCAACAAAAATAATTGTGTGATAAGAATTATTAATCCATTTAATAAATATCTATGAGTGACTATTATGGACTGAGAAGACTCAGAGGTAAACAAAATCCCTTGCTTCATGAAGTGTAGAATCTGGTAATAGAGGCAGATATTAAACCTATAAAGTAATGAATGTGTAACAGATCAGTCAGAGACAAATGTAGGAAGAATTCTAAAGCAGGAGAAGGGAACAAATAATGATTTGAGGGGTGTAGTGGAGGGCTACGTAGCCAGATTGTTCAGAGGCATCCTCTTCTGGGAGTAGGTAAGGATGTTTCCATTAGCAGAAGTTCTCAGTGGGGAGACAGAAGAGAGGTGAGGTTTGGAGTGGAATGATAACACTGGTGCCAATGCAGCAAATGATGCGTGGTGTCCAATTCAAGGTGCACACTCTTGGTTTCCACTCTCTCCCCCATGGAGCTGAGAACTAATGGCTGAAAACAATGGTGTCCTCTGTGAATTCAAGTTAGTAATCATTAACTTACTCTTATTTCTTAGAAAAAGGCAAGTGTGCACAATGTTTCTTTCCATGCATATGACTCAGCTCCTGCACTCCGATCAACTTACTTTAATTATAATAGCTTTTTGTGGAGTGCATGAAAGAAGTAAAGAGATTCACATAGTTCCAAAAGTTTTATCCAATGGTTTGGGTCAGGACTCTTTTTTTTTTTTTTTTCCAAATTGACAGATAACAATGTGTCTTTGGATACCTGGTAATTTTCAATTGGATGCCACATATTGAGGATTTTTTAAAAGTGCTGAATATTCTTGAGTTAAAAAAAAAAAAAAACACTTTAAACTTTCCACTAGGGTGCAATGAAGATACTTGGAAACAGCTTTACCTTTTAAGGCTTGGTTTCAAACACTGTTATGTGGACTAGAACAACTGTTAGTCTGGGGCTAATTACACTCCACTACTGAGGCAATGACCTTCTAAGTACCTGATACTTCATGTATTATGATGTTTTTTCTACTCTTGCTAGTGAGAAACAAACAATTCCAGGCTCTATTAAGCTCCAGGGATTATTGTGCTTTCTTTTTAAATGGCTTTTTCTCCCACCTTGAATAATTCCTCACAAATACATGCTGGTCAGTATTCAGCTGATGATTCAAAGGGCAACCTCTACGGTTCTCTGTGGCTCTCTTTCTGTGCTGATTCTCTCTCTGTGGCATTCTGCTCTGTGTAGTACACCCACCTGGACACCCCCATATACCCAATTCTATCACATCAACTTAGGAAACCTACTTAGGCTCTCTCTGGAGTCCTCTCCCAGTGCTGTGGCTAGAAATACCTCTAAGAAGAAAAGCCCCAAGAAGGAAAAAGGAGGGGGGACAATTGTGGGGAAGTTTCCTCTCTCGTGTGATTATTTTTGTGCACTGTCTGCTTGTGCAATGTCTGAAAACCACTATTTCATGTCTTTTAGTTATTTAAGATAGAAGGGTTAATCTAATTCCTTTTATTCCATTTTGGCCAGAAGTAGAAGTTGGCTTCCAAAGTTTTCAGGTTGTATTTAGGAAGAAGAATTATAGCAGATTAAATGAGGTGAAATGATTGTGTTGACCACAGTTAAAATGTAAGACTAGAATGATCATTTGGAAGAAAAGAAAACAAAAAAAAATTAAAAATAAAAAAATCAACAACAAAAAAGAATGATCATTTGGAATTAGGTTTTGGGGAGTCTTAAGGCCTGGTTTATGGGGCTTTGACTCAATATTTAAGTAGAGGGAAGCCAATCACGGCTTGAATAGGAAAGTATCGTGACAAAAGCAATGATTTAGAAGGAATCACTTATTAGTAACACCTGGAATGACATACATATAGTGTGTGTATATGTGTGGGTATGTAACACAATATTATAATAACCCAAACACATAGGATACTTACTTACACAACACATACCTAACAACATGAAAACAAAAATACAAACAGGGTAACATAAATAATGCCCCACAGAATCAGGATTGCTGGCTGTGGGCAAGGATGTGGAGAATAAAAAAAAAACTTGAGGGGCATCTCTCCCAGAGATTTGTTTCATTTCTTTTCAATCAAAAGAGAGCTCAGATAAGAAACTGGTTCACAACAGTAAACTATTTATAAGAGACAGGTTTCTGGCTCATGTTTTCCAACAATATAGATGGTATTAAATATTACAAAACCACATATTATAATTTTTTAAACAGTTGAAGGAGTCTACAAAATGATAAGTAGGTTTCTAAATACTGGACATAATTATAGCTAATCAAATCTGCATTTCATTTTAACCATGATATGAGTGTCTGATCTGCCATTTCCTGGTGTTCTCCACTCATTAATTCACTTTAAGGAGGATTAATTAAAAGGTGAAACCTAATCTCTGTAGGCAGTTCAAACCGACAATGTATACACTCTGTGTGAAGAAAATATGTGAAGCAATGAAAGCATTCATAGCTAAAAAGTTAATTTTAAGTTTTTTCTAAGTTGATTCTGTAGCCCCAACATGAGGCCAAAGAACATAGGGATATCAGCCCCTCTGTTTAAAATAGACCTGGTAGAGTCTATGTCTATTCTTGCCATGGATGAATCTTTCAGGAAATACATGAGAATTTAAAACAGGAACTTCCACAGAAGAGAGAGAAATTCCAACTACAGAGACAGAGATTCTTAAATTAGTAATAATAATAATAATAATAATAATAATAATAAAAGCTAATGTTTATTAATGAATACCACATGCAAGGCACTGTGCTATGATGCCATTTCACATACTTGGTCATATTATATCCTCACTGTGAGACAGGCACAGTTTCTTGACCTCTCTAGTTTCAATATACACACCTATAACATTCAGGTAAAAATAAAACACTCTTTTAAATATCATCCTGGGAATTAGAAGATTTAGTCTCACATAAACCTTTGGAACAATTATAGTATATAATAAATATTTAATAAGTGTTACCCCTAAATATTATTATCCTCCACTTTACAGTTACAGAAAGTAAGGCAAAAAAATTTTAAATAAGTTGCCCTAGAAAGGGATCTGAGTTGTCTGGGGAAAAATGCTCACTGCATAGCTCACTGGCAGATAGTAATCAATTAATTAGTGTTTACCTTGAATCCCTGGGGATAAAAGTGATGACCTCTGAGGGTTAGGGGTGCAGTAGGGTGGGCTGCACTTCAAGTTCAGTATGCTGCAGCTTGGGGAAGACAGTCCTTCAGTGGCCTAAGATTCAGTGTGTCTTCATTTTCAAGTCACAGTCAGGTGCAGACACAGCTCATCCTGCCACAGTAAAGTCACAAAATGCACTGCAGTGGGAAGCCCCAGTCCTCCTGCAGTCTGGGAGGGAATGGAGGTCATGATTTTACAGCTACCTGATTTGAGCCTTGGCACTCTTTCCCTAGTATGCATGAGATTCTATGGCATGTGAACAGAATGGACTGGGTTTCAGAACAATTTATAGTGATTTTATCAATTCTAATATTTGAATACCATTTAGTGCTTCAATTATGATATATCCTTACCTCTGACTTAATTTTTCTTTTTCCCACAGAAAGAAAGAACTCAAAAGCAATTTCCCAAAGAAGATGGAACATGAAAAGCATTGAAATAATCTCAACATCATCTGTTGCTGTACTTTGTACTTTAGAACCTAGTAGGAACTCAAGTTTTTTGTCTATTTGATCTTCCTTGTGGGATAAGAATTTGAGGAAGGAGATATCTCTGCCTCAGGATTGCTACATTGAGAATCACTCACAAGAGACCTCAACCAACATAAATCTCTTTGCAATGAGCTCTAATCCAGAGAATGGAACTCTATAACAAGGTCAGAAGGTTGATTCAACTGCCTTGAACTCAATGACCCTGTATATTTCCCCAGAGAATGTTAAGTTTTGTACTGGGGGAGGGACACTGTTTAAAATTACCTTCCTCTAAATGTAGGAGGCAATTTAGCTGACCTTAGGCTTTTAAAAACTTATTCTAATATACTATTCATCTTTCAAGCGTTTTCCTTAAAAATTTTACCTATTACACTTAACTTTTTAAAAGACTAGCAAACTGAATTTATTCATGTTTTATCTTGCTGTTTTATTCTGTTTCTTAAATATCATTTTCTTTAATTTGTTTTTAAAATCTTCCAGATGGTGATATTTTTCATCTCTTATTCTTAGCTTGTTTTCCAAATTTTCTCTTCATCTCATTTTTTTTGATCATTTTATCTTTCAGATTAAATGAGCCAACTGACATACTTTTTGTGTAATTTCATCGTTTGCTTCCCCGTGATTTTTTTAAACAAATTTATACATTTTTACATGTTATTAAGTTTACTATATCTAACTCTCATTCATCAACTCATATCAACTAGTAGTACATTCTCTTCACTAATCACAATTTCTTAGTTTTAAACATTTTGTTTATTTATTCCCTAAGTATACCACAGTTTACTTTCTTCAGTCATTAGTGACTGAAAGTAGAAAAGAGTCAAAATAAAAATTTATGCTCTTTTATAGAATGTCAAGACTGATTTCATGTTTATGCTTCATAATAGCTCTACAAAGCAGAGACTAAGTTAATATTCATTCACCCTGTTATTTAATTCACACAATCCAAAAGTCAAATTAACCCACAAGAGAAAAGTAAGCCTAGATCCCACATCAGCTGCAACATAGGGGGTTTGAATTTTCCCAGAAAATTCTATGGAGAGATAATTAAAGAAAGATAATTTGAATAGTAAATGGAATATTTTGCATACTTTAGGTTTGCAGTATATGTCAGTGTCTATCCATTTCTATGTCTTTATATAAAACTTATATAAAATACAATACTTTTCAATACCAAGAAGAAATCTGATAAATGTTTTGGGGTTAATATTTGACTGAAAGATTCCCAAGCAGGAGGTATTAGTTATTTGAGTATAATTCTCATTGGACACTAAATACTTGGTAACAGGACAAAATTAGTTATTTGTTACTTAGAGGTAGAGACATACTGACCAGTGCATCTTAGGGTTTACTTCATATGACTTCCAGGGCTAGTAGCCTATTGTTAAAAATATTTAAAATCCAAAAATTTATCTCTGAAAATACTTCCAAAGATATATGGGTCAGGAGACTTTGTACATGAAGTTTAATGAACAAAGATATGCTCATTCCTTCACATACTGTTTATGGCTGCTTTGTGGCTATAATGTCAGAAAATTGTAAAGAAAGATTAAATATTAATGAACCCAAACCCCTGTTCTATAATGTGTAGTGAAGCTAAGGAGGGAAATAGAAGGGAGGTGTTTATTACAATAATGATGGCTTTGTGAAAGCTCACCTGTTGTTCTATTCTATAAGATACATAGAAAAATATCTTAAATGAAGACAAATAAAGGTGTAATTAAAAAGACTTATGAAGAAGAGTTTTAATAACTAATCAGAGTCCTAAAACTCCATTCTCTTTTCTAAAAGGTCAAAATATGGAATTTTAATGAGTTAGTAGGTACTTCTTTGTCTAATAAAGAAAAAAGATTATTTAGATTCAATTCTTATTTAATTGTTAAAGAATATAGCATTTTCTTATCACATTTACCAAATATTTATGATAATGTGGCTGAATAGGGCATTAAGGACAGAGAAAGTAAAGGCCATTAAATTTATCTCTCTTAGAAACTAGAAAAATATAGCAACATTCCCCACATCCAGACAAAGAAATCCTTAAAAAGCTTTTCCATGCCATCCAGTGTCTTTTACTGAACTAACTCACCTTCTGGAATTTCTTATCCCAGAAGCCCCTGCAGTATCCTTGATGTAGTTTCAGCCCTTCTCATCTTCCTCTGTCACTATGTCAACAGTGACAGCTTCCACAGGGAAGTTCAGAATATTATAAGATAAGTATAACACTTGGAAATATAGCACACTGACTCCTGAGAACCCCTACAGAAGAATTAGTGGATGAGTAGAGAGAGGGCATAGTCTTAGTCCGCATTCTATTTTCTAATCACGTGACTTTAAATTCACAGTTTTAAATTATTTTATCACTTAACTCAATTATAAAATAAAAGAGGACTAAAAGCCTTGTCCTTCATACTATTGGTTGTGAAAATCAAATTAAATAATGCACATGAAAAAACTTTATCAACCAACAAATGCTGCAAAAATAAGAATTTATAACCATTTGGCTAGAAAAAAAAAAGAGGGAAGTAAGAATAACCAAAAAATAATGATTTTGAGAATGATAATAAATTCAGAAGGATAACAGGTATGGAGAAAAAGGTTAAAGCTGATGGCAACCTCATAAAAAGTAGACTTTGATATAGTCATTCTTCAATGTTTCAACTAACATATCACTAAGGTGGGGACAAACCCTAGGTTAGAGCACAATTCTGACTTCTAAGCCAGTACATTTTCCCCTTTATAGTTCCTTTATATCATACTAGCCTGCATTTAAAGAACAAAGAAGAAAAGTTATTATCAATGACAATCCCACTAGATCCAGGTTAAAGACTGGGCATACAGTAGAACAGAGAGTATCATTCAGCCTTAGAGATTTCCATTTGCCAATGAATTTAACACCAAGTCTAGAAAGAGAAGAATCCAACCAAACATTACTATTTGTAAGACAAGAAAAACAGGCTTTATGTTACTTTAGAAAATTCTGTCCTATAATATTGCTGAAGGTGATACAATGAAATCATACTTTTACCAAGGAAGTTAGATTTTAAACACACCAGGAATTTTGTTTTGATCAGATATATGAAACATGAAGACAAGAGATGGAACATGTATTTTTTAAAGCCTGGGGATTCTAAAACATAGACATACTGTGTAAGCAAAAACCCCATCATATTTCTTAATCTAGTCGAGGTCTGAAAACTGCAATTCCTACAGGCCAAATTTGGTTTGCTACCAGATTTGTACATAAAGTTTAATGAACAAAGATATGTCATTCCTTCACATACTGTTTATGGCTACTTTGTGGCTATAATGGCAGAGTAGCTATGACAAAGATGGTATTGCTCACAAAGCCTAAATTATTCAGTATCTGGCCCTTTATAGAAAAAAATTTGCTGAGTACTGGTCTAGACAATTTGTAGCCATGAATGAAGAAAGAATAACTATTCATTATAGATCTATTATGTGTAATGCATTGTGCCTGGTAATGTACATCTCTAGTTCTGCCCATATTTCTTTATTAATTCTCACAACCATCCTGTGTAATAAAGATTACTGTCTAAACTCCATAGATGAGGAAATTTATATTCAAAAGTCTAAGTAAAACTAACCTAAGATTTACTGTAGTCAGTAAGAGATTAAGGATTCACATGTCTTTGTTATTGTTATTATTATTTGTTTGTTTTAATCTTCATAGGTGATGGTCTTTGTTTTGTTTTTGTTTTTTGGTTTTGGTTTTTGGTTTTTGTTTTTTTTTTTTTTTTGGTGATGATCTTTGTACTAAGCTACACTATCTCCCAGAAATTCATGTTTACTAAAAACCAACTTCATAAACTGAGTCATGTATGAGTATGTATATGTATGTGGAGGAAATAAAATATCAGATACAGAAGAAGAAAGAGTCACTAAACTTAAAGACTGATCGATAGACATTACTCACTCTGAAGAACCAAACAAGAAAAGCATTGAAAACAAAGTATCATTAATATGTAGGATAGTATTATGCAGTCTGACATATGTGTTATTAGAGTCAAGAATAAAAAGGGGATAGAAAATATACTTGAAGTAGGCTGAAAAGTTGCCCAAATTTACTAAGAAAAATACCAACTTATAAATCTAAGAAGTATAAATATAAAGAAAAATACCCTTATGTATATTTGTTAACTACTAAGCCCATTGTCAAACAGCTAAAACCCAAAGATTAAGACAAAATTTTGAAAGCAGAAATGGTACATTGCATACGGGGGGGAACCATGCAAATGGCAGATCTTCTATGAGAAATAATATAGGTCAGAAGATAACGGAATGTCATCAATAAAATGATATGTGAAGCAGGGAATTATAACAAGACTTTCATATGCAGTGAAAATATCCTTAAACTAACATGGAAAATTTAAGACATTTTTCAGATAGAAAATTGAAAGAATTTTTTACTTAACAGGTCTGTAGTGAGGAAAGTATGAAAGACTGTTATTGTTGCTGAAGTGGATACACATTCTATGGAAACTTGATGTGCATGATGGAATAAAAAAATACTAAAAACAATTAATTTATGAGTAAATATAAAAACTATATTTTTCTTCTTAATTTCTTTAAAAGCCTAGTGGAGTGGCTAAGACAAAAATTCTAACAATCATCACAGGGCTTCTAATATATTATAGTAATATATTTGACAATATCACAAAGTATGGGGTTAAAGCAAACTATACAATAGCTAGATTCTTATATTTCTTGTGAACTCAATATCTGTGAATATCAACTCTTAGGTTCATCACGAAAAGTTAAGAATGTGTATTGCAATCCTTAGAGCAACCAACAAAATATAAAACAGAGGTAAATTTGAAAATCCAAAAGAGAAATTACTATGGAATACTAATTAACATTAGATTTATAAGATGACAAAAAAGGAGGACTAGATGATTTAAAAAATTGAACAGATGCCTTTTTTTGTGTGAGCAGATGGAATAAATTAAAGATAAGCAACAAAATAATAGTTCTAAATCTAAATGAATCAATAATTACATTATATGTTAATGAATTTAAAACTCCCAATTGTAAGGGAAAGATTATCAATCTGAATAAAAAAAAAACACAGAATTATGGATATCTACAACTAGTGCCTTGTTTTATAAGACAGGCATAACTCAAGTACAAAAAAAACAAAATAATG